GATCGAGGAATCGATGTAACTCGTATGTAGAGACTTTCTTGCACCCAGTAAGATCAGTACTCACACACGACAGTAGATCTACGCTGTGTCACAAAAAAAATGCCTCAGCAGCACTTTTACCCCTTGCCTAGTCACCAGGGAGTCGTAAAATACACGGTATTTTACGACTCCCTGCTAGTCACCATGTCACCGTCGTCGGACTGTCAGGCGGACTCCAGGCGCCTATGTAGGCATGCATGCACTGCACGCTGGGCCTTGATCAAAAACATTCTCCGTAGATCTACCCACATCGAAATTATTTTACTGGTTCCCGGGCATCCCGGGAACCGCCCTATGTACGCCCCTGCTTGGATAAAGCGTCAGCTCAAGCAACAGTACCAGCACTAGCACTACACGCAGAAAGAGCCAGCTCAAGCAGCGGTACCAGCACCAGCACCAGGACCAATTTGATTTCTTTGCCAGTAACATCAGCGATACACGAATAGCATCAAAACCATCTCACAGCTATCATCATCACTAACACAAGCAACCACCACAGCACCAACACACACACACACACACACACGCGCGTGCGCGCGCACACACACGCACACACTGTACTGTACTGTACTTGCTCACTGCCAAAATTGGTCACGTGGGTCTCCCCGGGAGAGGGGAGAGAGGAACTCAAAAAGAATCTTGGAAAGAGGACTCAACTGGCTATTGAACCGCCCAACGGCCGACACCCCCTGAAATCCCCAAACCAGGGGCGTCGCACACGGTACGGTCACTACGGTATTGACCGTATCACTATTTCCCCTAAGTACCCCGTGAATAAATAAAATGCACTGATATGGGCTCTAAATTTCCAAATTTTTCTGCTCAGCCATCCCCTGCTCCCCCCCCCCCCCCCCCCCCACGAGTAAATAATAATCATTATTGTACTTCAGATGGCTGACCGTACCACACTAATATACCTTCCGACACCCCTGCAAACTATGGGTGGACTTGAAAATGATCCCACTTACGGGCTTACCACACCTCAGTAAGTGGGTGAAGACAAGGCGCAAAAAATGGATTAACGGCATCAGGTTATCCGTCCTGGGATCCAACTGCAGTTACCCCTGCCCCCAGTGAAGGTAATACTTGGTACTAGTGTGGGTGGCTAAATCAGAGTGGATCTGATATAAGCTTCACTAGCACCAGTGATTACACAAGAGTTAATCTAGCCAAAAGCAGTCCAGGGTCAACAGGTATGTATACTTCAAATAGAAAGTATATGAAACCTGCAACCAACAAAGGTGGCAGATACAACAATACACCTTCAAGCAGCCGAGCCTGTTGGCAACAGACCCAACACAATCTGGCATATGTGTACCCACCAACCGTACTAGCTGGCACACACACACACATACACACATGGCCTCCAGTAGGGACTACAGTAGAGGCGGCAGGAGCCACAGGAGTGGCAGGAGCAGAAACACCCTGATAACCGGAGCGGCTCCAGCAACAACCACAGGTGCGGCGGCAACAAAACCCCACAACCGATGGCAGCAGCAGCAGAAACTTCAGGAGGAGCAGCTGTGGAATGACAGCAGTAACAACCAGAGCGGTGGCACCAGCAGCAGCAGTAACAGAAACACTCACACGATCGGTAGCAACAGCAGTAGCAGCAACAGCATCTGCTGCTGCAGGAATGGTGGCACCAGCAGCAGCAGCAACAGAAACACTCACACGATCGGTAGCAACAGCATCTGCTGCTGCAGGAGTGGTGGCACCAGCAGCAGCAGCAGCAGTAACAGAAACACTCACACGATCGGTGGCAACAGCAGTAGCAGCAACAGCATCTGCTGCTGCAGGAGTGGTGGCACCAGCAGCAGCAGCAACAGAAACACTCACTCGATCGGTAGCAACAGCAGTAGCAGCAACAGCATCTGCTGCTGCAGGAGTGGTGGCACCAGCAGCAGCAGCAGCAGCAGCAGCAGCAGCAACAGAAACACTCACTCGATCGGTAGCAATAGCAGTAGCAGCAACAGCATCTGCTGCTGCAGGAGCGGTGGCACCAGCAGCAGCAGCAACAGAAACACTCACACGATCGGTAGCAACAGCAGTAACAGCAACAGCATCTGCTGCTGCAGGAGCGGTGGCACCAGCAGCACCACCCCCAAAACTGGCAAATCTTGCACCTCAAGTACACCATCACACCTGCACCAGCAGCAGCATGCCAGTAGCAGTACACCAGGACAGGCAGTCTCCCTTCACTACTACACTAGCACAGGCACTCTCCCTTCACTACTAAACTAGCATTGGTCCACCTTTATGACAAATACCAATGAGCCAAAACAAGACTAGCACACGGCATCACCACCACCCCCCCCCCCCCCCACACACACACACACACTCGTAGTAGATAAACAGCAAGTGTCAAAGCACATACATACACACACACACACACACACACACACATACACACACACACACTCGCGCACACGCACGCACACACGCACTCTCTCTCTCACACACACACACTCGCGTACTCGCACGCACACACACACACACACACACACACACACACACACACACACACACACACACAGACATTTGCCACGTCATGATTTACAGGGAAGAGTTTGGTTTGCATCTTCTCACCAAAATGCACCTGTTCCTTTCCAGTGCCTGCCCATATTTAGACTCAACCCTGGGGATGAAAACATTCCACAATGGGCGATGCAGATTTTAATCAAATGGTTGCTGCCGATGCATTGTTGTAATTATCCACGGGTTCAATCATGCTTCTTTGCCTGACGCATATGGGGATTTTCTGCATTGCTATACTGTATCGGCACTCCAGAGGCGCAGCGTCATTTCTATTTCGTGTCCTTGGGGCCTAACCGACTTGTGGCCGAACTCGAAAGCTCTGCACATTGCCACGTGCCCCCTCCCATGCACCCTGACCAGTTTTTAACAACATGTCAACGCTAGAAGAACACAGTTGTGTCTCACAACCACCTCGCCCTCGCCGAGCTTGCCACTCTGGTATCCCAGGCATGGTGGTGGTGGCCTGTCACAAGCGAAAACTTCCTAAGCTGGTTGTGTGTTCTCAACACAATACATGTAAGTGTATAGTCTGGTGTAACGCGGACATTCAAGCTTCACCTTGCTTTTCTCACTATGTGCCATGTTTGCATGGATCACAAGATATTCTTCATCCCGAATGGTTCACACTTGCTTCACACTTGCTTCCACACAAAATAGAAACTCCAACCTCGCAGTCTGCTCTAGTTTGGTATGCAGATAAATACTCCGCAGAATGAATAAAGATACACAAAATTATGGGTACTCCTAGGCATTTCCTTGTATCCTAAGTTATAGGCCAAGCACTGACAATCAGACTTTCTTCAAGGTTTTCGAGCAAAGATACTTCTGACCCCGAGGGTGGATTGGGGGCTTTGCTTGCCTCCCCAATGCACAAACCTTGCTGCAAGGCTCGCGCAGTAAGTTCGACAGGACTAACACAGCAAAGATCCGTGTTGATGGCAGCGCCCACGTGCTATGCCCGAATCATGTCTCTGAAAGCTGTGTGCGAACCGGCCAAGTGGGCAGCGAGTGTGAATCCTATAACTCCGCGCGGAGAAAAGCTCTCTGGCAAGCACCACCAGAACTGCACAAGCGGCCGAGCAGCGTTGGGTATGGCAATGGTCAACGCACTGCCATGTGGCACCAACATTACAATCTACATTGTGGTCTCATGTTCGAGACATCTGCATTTCTGGCGTCTGGGACTTACAACTGCGATAGCATGACATGCGATATGCTATGGAGACAATTTCATTCGAGCGCAGGTCTTTGAATGGTCATGAGAGTCATTGCACTCGATGCGTTGGCATCATCGACGCAAACACAAACGCAGGCTGACACACACAGTGAGCACAAAACGCGTACCGTCGTAATGACCCTGGCAACCTAACAGACAGCAGCATTGTACTATATTCAGTAAGCAGTTACGCGCCCCAATAGTAATGTTTTCACGTACCTCAATTATTTGAACGAACGTAGCGTTTGCAGTACCTCACCATGCAAGTCCTGTCCAGCACCGTCCTGCTCACCACTAAGCGTGATGCTTGGAGTAGATCGGCCAACTCCAGCAAACCCTGGCACCAGTACAGAGGGCTAGCTGGGAATCTTGCCTTCGCCTCGGTCCAAACCACCACCACAGTTGCCAGCCAACACACAAGACCACTATTGTGATCGCTACGTGGTCTCTGCCCACTCACTTCACTTCCCTAGCCGAAACGATCGAGCTCGAAATTTTCAAAAGACAGAGATTGGTCTGGAACGGTCCGTAGCGGTATCAGCGTGCAACGGGTCAATGGAGGTTGGCAAAGCTTGGAAACGGCAGTGCAGCCACGCGCCAACTGTGACCTCTTGGCCGCGAGTACAGCTCCAGGACGTGGACAGGTGTTTAGAGTCTGCGTTTTCTCCAGCTCAAACCAGGATCCAGGATTCGTCAGCGTGGCACGAGCGCGAGCGAGCACTCGGGCGTGAATGACCGCGTACTCTGCTGCTTCTGCTTCGCGACTGCTTCTGCTTCGTGCTCTGGCATGTACATCACTGTACATGGCCATATGGATGTAGTACGCCTTGCTCTGTCCGGAAGGAATCACCAGGAATAATTTGTTTGCACTGTGATCAACGTGTGATCGCGGGGTATTTTTTTCTCCACATTCTTGACAGCAAACCACCAAGAGTCCAAGACCATGTACCAAAGATTTACATGTACATGTACATTTACATGTACATGTAGTACTACTGGAGTCTGGAGTCTTTCTGTGCAGATCAAGGAAATGCACGATCGGACGATACTATTACTTGACATGGTTAGCATTTTACCGTTCACGCTATATTCGGCGGTAGGCCTGCACCGTTTTTTGTGTGTGTAGACATGGCATTTTACAGTTCACGCGCTAGATCCAACGGTACTCGTACCCCAAACCCATAATACCGTCGGTTTGGTACCGTTTCGACGATAGAAAGGTCTTTTTAGCGGGAGAACGAAACGGTAAGATTCCAACTAGGGTTACCTCACACGTCTATCGTTGCGTCAGGAGTCAGGACTCAGAAGCCGAACTGCTAACCGTGTCTCGAAAACACATCAAAAACAGTAGACTCGCCCTCTACACGCCGACCGTCGAAATAGCTTGAACGGTAAAATGCTAACCATGTCTACGTAGATCTACTACTGTACTAGTCGATAGCGTAGATTTCTACACCTCCTTGCTACGCAGTTACCATGGTTACGTACCGGTACATATCTCGCCTGTACACATGGTACAGGCAATCGACATCGCGCCACCGTTCCGCGTCACGCGCATGTGTGATCCGTCATGTACATGATGTAGATGCATCATTCATTAGACATTACACTTACCGTCTGCCTGGTCCACTACATGACTACCGGTACCCACGGCCAAAGGAACCTTGACGACAGGTAGATCTACTAGTACTAAGTAGATCTACTATGGAAAAGCGTGATATGTAGATCTACAAGTAAGTTACAACCAGTCAACCTCATCATGCTCAGTCAGAGCTCTAGTCTAGTCTAGACTCGAGCCTAGTCAGTAGTACTAGTACATGTACTTACTGTAACTTAGTCTTAGTACTAGGAGGCGATCGACCTTCGACCTATTCAGACTAGTAGTAAGTAGTAGTCTGACTAGGTCGAAGGTCGATCGCCTCCTACTAAGTACATGTACTAGTACAGTACTAGCACTACAGTAGCAGTCATGTACATGATTGTAGTAGATTCTACTAGTATCCATGATCCAGGTCGTGCATGTGATGTGTACGTGTACATAGTCATTATACATGTGCACTACATGCATACGATACGTGCACAAAACTGACAAGGCCCAGGATGCTAGGACTAGGCTTGTCCACATTATGTTTTGCATCTTTTTTGCAACTTGGGGGTAAAAATGCATCCCCGGGGAAAATTGCAACTTGGGGTATATTTTGCCCTTTTCCATGCCCAAAGCAGAAATTCACTCCTCACGACCCCAGTCGAAAACAAGAGGGTGTGTCAAATAGCCAGACCTCACAACTACCAGTTGGCAGTTAGTTCAGGCGCCGAAGATTCACTGATTTTATAGTGGAACTACAACAAGTACAAGTTACTTCAGGACAATGTTATGTGTCCTTGAACACACTATCAATGTTACATGCTTTATAAACCAATGGCAATACCACAGTACTGAATGTACTAAGACCCAAAGGCAAGTGCATACAGGTGTGATGATCTAAACTAGCAAAGATATGTAGTACTCAGTATGCAATCCAGCAAGCGCAAGGGAAACACAAGTGGTGAGAAGTGATCTACAAGCTTTACAAGCTTGTCAGCAAAGGAGTGACAAGAGTCAAGCAGTGCGTGTACGTGTATATGTGACATGATTAGAGGTCAGTAGATGTAGATGTAGTAGTCAGCTACAGTTCAGTACGAGTACTACTACTAGCAATGCAAGGCAGGGATACTACAACCGCTACAGTAGCTGTCAAAAGGTAAAAACTACTATAATACTGCTAAAAAGCCACTATGCTGGTCTATGGATGCAGCACGAGGAAAATGGAATTTTCCAGCGATAGACTAGTCGACTCTCACGTAAGTCACGGTAACATGTAAATGTACACACAGAGGCGGCCATTTTTGTTGGTTGCCATGACAACGGTCGCATAATTGTCGCGAATTGGGTTGATTTTTCAATTTTAATTTCTTCTTATTTCCTGAAAATCCTGCTGAATTTATGGAATGCATAATGCCCCAACAAGACTGCATTTTGCATCCGCAACTTGGCAAAAATATTTCGAAAAATGTGGACAACCCTACCCAGGACTAGGTACGGTGCTGAGATAAGGGCTTGAAAGTGATGACGTCAAAACGGCCAGGGAGTAGTAAGTTGACATCAGATTTCTATTTTTGGATCCACTAAGGTGTGACTTTGCTATTGCCTAAGTATGTGGGTGCATAGCAACCCACTCATGTCGCATGCAGGTGTGACTTTTATTTCACCACCAGTTGTAACCCCGCCCCCAGTAGCCAAATCAGTCAGTTTCACTGGCTACATCACCATGCTGTGGGTAAGACCGCTTGAAATGTGCTTGGATCCATACAAAAACTGGATCCAAGTGGATCCAGTTTTTGAATTTTTGAAATTGTTGCTATGCTGTGACGTAGCACTTTCAAGCCCTGCATGAAAGTCACGTGAGCAGGGCTCAAAGTACAGTGCGGATCGACTATAGGGTTGTCGGCTAGTATTAATATACCTCTTATAGTGATCGTATTCTCAAATTCATTTTCGTAAACCACCCCTTTCTATACATATCGGATCGGCTATAGTAATAATCGGCTATAGTAATATATCGGCTATAATGATACGATTTCTTTGTCAAAATGATCTTATTGCATACATTTTTCATCGGCTATAGTGATGATCATAAAAAAATTATACATTGTACATGGCGAGATCTGATCGCGGCAGCCAGGAAGCGCTGGTACGACTATGAGTATGATATCCCTCGGAGGAAATTCGAAATGTTTGGCGTTGGCTGTGCTTGTTGTTCCGGGGCATCCTCGAGCGAGATCGGAGGCAGTAATGAGTTCCAGCGCTGAAGCGCTACCGTGGTCTCCGCCGAGATGTTGGAGAAGGCATTCAGGTAACAGCGAAGACGATCAGGGACGCGGAGAAGCTTCTCTGTGGCATACGACATCACGCGTCGATCGACCTGCCACTTGGAACGGTTTCAGCGGTGATGAGTCGAGCGATGGCGACCCAGACTGAGACTCTACTCCCACTAATCGATCCTGTAGATATTGTTGATATGTCGATTGAATGTGTTGAAGTGTTTCTCTTCCAAAAGAACACATTTGTTGAGCACAGCAACTCCTTGAAAACTCATGTCAAAAAGTCACGAAGTTTTTGTTTCCGAAGGAAGTACATGTAGCTCTGCACTGCGCGTATTGCACAGTCACATGTACAGCACGCTTCTGCACGCTGCACTGATTCGAATGACACCATACACGCATTTGTCAGGCATACCTAAGTATGCATATCGCCTATAGTAATATATCGCCTATAGTGATATTTTCACGAAAATCAAACACCAACGCTATAGCCGATCCGTACTGTACATACATGATTGTACTCCTATGGGCTGTTAAGTGATGACGTCACAGTTCCTTCGATACGCATAGCAACGATCCCACTGGGGACAAACAAAAGTAGCATCGTCTCCACCGAACCAGTTGTCAGTGGCAACATAAGAATCGTGTACATTTCTTCGTTTCTTCTTTGCTGTTTTCAGTGAGTGTTTTGTTTTCTCTTTCACGGTCCTTGATCTCGACGGCGTTGTCGTGCTCATTACCTTACTGAGACGTCTCTTGTGACTGTAGCCAGTGTCACGGAGGATTTTTTGGCGTGACGAGGTAGATCGCCGAGATCGAGCGTGAAAAACGCTCTGCATTAGTAGCTCCTGTAGAATGTCTTCTGGGATGGCGTTTCGATGGTCAACAAAGCCAAGGTGCAAGACAGCATAAACCAATACCACAGTACTGAATGTACTAAGACCCAAAGGCAAGTGCATACAGGTGTGATGATCTAGCAAAGATAAGTAAAGGATAAGTAGGATGCAATCCAGCAAGCGCAAGGGAAACACAAGTGGTGAGAAGTGATACAGGCTTGTCAGCAAAGGAGTGACAAGAGTCATGCAGTGCGTGTACGTGTACATGACTACAAAAAGTCATGTGACGTGATTAGAGGTCAGTAGATGTACATGTAGATGTAGTACTAGTAGTACTAGTAGTCAGCTACAGACTACAGTTCAGTACGAGTACTAGCAAGGCAGGGATACTACAAGTTCAACCCTACACACAAGGCTACAGTACAGTAGCTGTCAAAAGGTAAAAAGCCACTACTGTCTATGCATATGGTCAGTATGGATGCAGCACGAGGAAATAATTAAAGGGGAAGTATACCCTAAAATCAAATTTTCACCAGTTGTAGTCTTCGGGGTGCTGAGTCGAATGGTCTTGGTCCGAGGAAGCTGAGACGCTCCCTTCCTACTTGAATCCCAATCGAACTCGCGCACTTCCACCGAAACTGGGTGACTGCGCCCTACTAGATGGGGATTTGTATGCAAAATGTCACTAAAAGCGCCATTTCGTTCTTATAAAAGCACGGATGACCGCGATTGGCCCATATGTTGTAGTCTTTTGGACGCTGAGTCGACTGGTTTTGGTCCGAAAAGGCTGCGATGCAGCGTTCCTCCTTTATTCCCAATCGAACATGGTTGAACAAGCGGTTACGTGCTCCTGCATACACCAGTCACCTGGTCACCGTGCCTGCAGGGTACAACTTACTAGCCTGTTTGACCTTTTTTGGGTGCAGTCCTGTCACTCGAGTTGGATTGGATTGGTTTATTTAACGTCGAATAACAAACAGGCAGTGTTGCCTTATTACATGAGATCGACTAAAGATTTAGTAGTCTAGATACAGTGCAACGAGTGTTAGTTTCCAAGATCTTTACAAGACTGGCGAACACTAAATGTCATGAAGAAAGTGAAGAGAAAGGAGGTTTATATAGGAAAGAGATTGTGATAGAAGACTGCGCAATGTAGTTTGTTGTTTTGTTAGATATCTGA